ATAAACTTCTATCACTAACAAAACAAAATCAGTCAATTTGATCAAACCGACGCAAAAATATTGAAGTCTTTTTTGTCCTAACGCTATTTATGGCCCAACCTGTATATCGCTGTATTTCTCCATGTATGATCGTTTATGACCGTCTCTGTTTCACCTTGGCAAATGAGTATTGAAATGTTCATGAACTTTAAAGATTTCTTCGATTTCTATTAGAGAGGTATAAAAATTTTCAATTATTAGGAATTGCACATTCTTTCACATACAGGTCTGTTTTCATAATCAAGTATCTAATATCCATTTTTGAAAAAAAGGCGTTCCGGGAGAATGCATATAACTTTTGAAGGCAAAGTGATGGAGACCTGCGGTTTTCACCATTTGAAAGAGGACATCGCGGGACGTAGATATATATCAAAATATGATTGGTCGGTAATCCACCAATCACGTGAGTCCTCGCTGGTCATTTTCACCATCCAATATTCGGCATCAATGTTGAATCCGAAAGTGACCCGACGGTAGCGAAAATTGTTGTCTTTCGATCTACACAAGGCCGACCTTTCTAGCCTGTTCCGTTAAAGAGCTATAAGGGTTTTCCTGAGACCCCTGATTTCAGACAATGAACCTTGGATCAACTCCAAAACCATATGGGATGGGATAAATCATCATACTGAGTCGAATGGTGATATCTGTTTTTGGATTCAAAATCAGCTTATGCTTTTATCTCAATATTTCCGAAATGTGGACTCATGTGAAACACGGCAGTGATATTGGAAAATGTAGACAATTCCTAAAACACAGTGTAGGATGGTTTCAAATCCAAAAACAAATATCACCATTCGACTCAACATGATGAATTATCCCATCCTATATGGTTTTGGAGTTGATCCAAGGTTCAGTGGCTGAAATCAGGAGTCTCAGGAAAACCCTTATAACTCTTTAACGGAACAGGCTAGAAAGGTCGGCCTTGTGTAGATCGAAAGACAACAATTTTCTCTATCGTATGGTCACTTTCGGATTCAAAATTGATCAGAAAATATGTCGAATATTTGATGGTGAAAATGACCAGCGAGGACTTACGTGATTGGTGGATTGCCGACCAATCATATTTTGATCTATATCTACGTCCCGCGATGTCCTCTTTCAAATGGTGAAAACCGCAGGTCTTCGTCACTTTTCCTTCAAAAGTTATATGCATTCTCCCGGAACGCCTTTTTTTCAAAAATGGATATTAGTTAAAGTGATTATCAAAGCAAAAAAGATTGTCTCGAAGAATTTTTTTCGATTTTTTTACAATAGAAATATTTTACTGTCTAAAATTTCATTTGATTGTATTAAATGAGATGTAGGTGGTACGAATCATTTTGTCATAAAGACTTATATTTTTCTGATTATTAGATGCCAGAAATGCTGTCATATACTTTTTTTCAATAATGATCACTTTTAGAATCGTGCATTGTTAATTGAGTACTGCTTATACTCTTGAAGTATAAAACTTATTTGACTACTTAACTATCATGTATAAGTTTTTATAAAACACGACCTAAAAGGACTGTTGAAGTATAGGAGTAGATATTTGGACTTTCCACAGCCGTGACAGACACGTGAGGAGCAGTTCGTCACAGACGTTGTCAATATACGATCACAGACCGTAAATCAGTAACATCTTGTTGTAATATATGAACTAGTTCCTCATTGCATTTCTCAAGGGTAAAATAAAGAATATTTAGTTAATATGGTTGGTGCATATTACTAATACCTGTTTAAAACAATAATGATCCGTGTATTTTTACCATAACTCAAGAACGGAAAGAGTTATACAGCTGCGGCTTTCACCAGTCGAAAGAGAAGATATCAGGACATCTTCTTCTCTTATATTATATAAGGTGAGATCATTTTAGAATAAATCATTGCTGCAAAAAGTGCAAGAAAATGGTCTCTCATTTCGATGAAATTTTGGTTTAGAAATGTGATTTATATAGAAGAACTTCAGATCTATAGTTTAAAATGTAAGTCGAATGATTATCTTCGCACATCCTAATGTTAAGCCAATAAAAGTGTCTATTTAGTCCCTCGAAAAATATGGGTTTATCTTAATTTTTAAGCAAAATTGCTTCCTTTTTGTCAAAATTTGATTTGCACGACAGATCATATTTATAAATTTTTTCGATGTTTTGTAACTACGGTTGATTTTAAAATGATTGTGTCCTATAGAATACTAGAGAAAAAGACGTTCCGACGTCTCCTCTTTCGACTGGTGAAAACCGCAGCTCTATAGATCATTCCGTTCTTGAATTATTGCAAATATACCCGTGGCCATTATTTTTTTTTAAACAGGCATTAGTTCATAGGAATATGTCTTTGTATTGAGACCTCTCTAGGCTGAAAATATGTACATACTTAGTAAACGTCAAGAGGTTTGTAAAGAAAAACGTCTTATTGTCAATGGGTAAACCGAAAAATGCTTGATTATTATATGACTGACAATCATTGACATCCGCCCCAATCAGTTGCGGGAGTCCTATCACTTTAGATTTATCACGTAAAAGTTGACAATAGTCAAAGACAATATGTCTTTCATCTTGCTTTTTAATTTATGAGCGACGCTCATATAAATCAGTATTTGTTAGACTATTTGTTTTTGCCCGCCCTCAAACAGAGATTTGTCATATGTCTGTTATCTTGAAAACACTTTAATAGAAAAAAGTACAAAATCATTTCATCTTCAAGTCTCTTTTATGATCCAAACAAAAGTACATTGCTTCATTTTTTGACACGATATCGAACAGTTAAAACTAATAGCAACCATGTAATCCATATAAATTTTGCTATTAATACTCACAATTGTCATCCATCATTAGTTAACACATTTGAAATCCAGAAACATCATCATTACTAAATAATATATTCATTTGTAATAACAGTGATGATGTAATTCAATTTACCTTAAAAAACATGTTCTCAAACTGGAATGAAGGAATGAATCAATATATATGTAATTCAGCATTTATTTTAGGATTATGACCTTTATTTAACTTGATGAGCACGAAAAAATGACAGAATATTGACTGAATTAGATTAAAAGATTGAAATTTAAATTATAAAGAAAAAGAAAAAAAACTAAATGAAGAAAATTTCAGATTCTATACTTCTATTATTTTGTCTTTTTCAATATTTATTAAAATTGTAATACTAATCGAAAATCTATAACAATAATAAAACGCGGCTAATTTTCTAATCAATTTTATGGGTTTATTCTATTCATTGATCAATAGTTTAGTTTCAAATAGTGAAAATATGAAGGAAGAAATTCAAAAACCTTGTGGTCAACCAGGTTGTTGTTCTTTATATTCTCATACGAAGCAACAAAAGTTAAATTCTCAATCAATACTACCAGCTAACATCATAACAAAAAGTAATTCCATGTATCCAAGACAAATGTATACTGAACTATCTGTGAATAATTCAAATGTTTCTCGAGCTTCATCGGTCAAGCGAAATCAACGACGAATAATATCCAAAAATAAAAGTCAAACTAGAAGACGAAAATAGATCGAATTTTTTTTAAATAATTTTCTTGTTCGAGACTAAAAATAATAGTACCATCATCATAAATTATGTAATATATCAATTTTATAACAAAATGGTAATTTTTGTCTAATAAATAAAGATAAAGAAAGATTACTTGAACATGTACTTTTCTTGTTATGAATAAAAGTCTAACTGAAAAAATAGAAAACACAATAAAACAAAAATGAAAATTCTCTGTCGAATGTTATTTCAATTGATCGAAGATAAAATTCAATAAAAAATTAATTTCATTTGTTAACAAAAATAGGAATCAAATGAAACGTACAGAGATTCTTTTTCAAATCAAAACTCATACATAGAATACATAATGAGAATAAAAAAAACAAAAAAAAATCAATACAAACACTGTTCCAAGATTAATAAATGTATTTAGACTAGCTAAAAAATAAGTTCAAATAAAATGTACATCTTCTTAATTTCAAATATTAAGCTTGAACAGATGTATTTTGCTGTTCATGTTGAGTGATGATTGGTCTTTCAACGGGTGCATCTTGAGGAACGGCTAAATTAAAAAATTTCTTTTTTTGTTGATTTTTTTATTGATTAACAAATTTACCTGAATAATTATCATTTAATCGAGTAACTCCAGATGATTTACTATGTTTATTATGTTCCTTTTGAACCTTTTTATAATAGAAAAAGATAATAACACCAGCGCCTGCTATAACAAGTATGCCAACAAAAGGTAATATAATAGCAAGAGTTCGATTTATTTTTCTTGAATAATGGTAATGTTTCGAATGACGATCATTATCAAATCTGCCATTTTGATCTTGGTTGTATTCTCTATTTAAAAAACATGAATCACAGAATATTCTGAAGAAAATTTAGATAGATACAAACTGTGAATTGCAACAATATTGAGAATTTGCAGGTCCACAACAATATTGATCAAGTTGATTCATACCAGTATTGGCTGGTAATGGACATTGGAATTTACCGAACGTATATCCATTATAATTTTGATGATTATAACAAATAGAGCCACGGTCTTTTTAGTTTAATAAATTAAAGTTCAATTAGCTCAAAAACAAAATTATGTTTTTCATTAAAAACTATTTACCATGATGTTGACCAAAATGGTATGTTTTTTCACCTTTACTGGCATAATGTTTAGCTACTTTTTGAAGAAGTGCTGGTCCACCATCATCTCTATTTGGCTGATTAACTTTACCTTGAAGACTTATTTGTAATAGACAACAAATAGAATTATTCTATTAAAAAATCATAGTAATTTTATATTTACCTGCTTGGTGCGCCATTTTTTCCATTAACCATATTATTCTGACCTGATTGTCCATTCTGATTCGATACCCAATTTGGATATTTTGTATCGAACCAACCGACTGGTTTTTCACCAGAAAATGATGGTGGTTTAAATGCTGGACTGTCATAAAAACCACGACTACGAACTATTGGTGCTTGTCCTTGAGATGATGCTAATAAATTATTATTTGATTGTTGTTGATTATTTCGATCGTTTGATGCACCTATATATGGATTATTTGATGGAATGAATTGAACATTATTCGAAGATATTAATCTATCCGAATTTCTTGATAAAATACCTGTATTAAGATTATTTCCATCTATTCCTTGTCGTCTCTGACGATTAACATTACCTTCTTCTTGTCCTAATAGACACGCAAAAAAACCACCGTAAAGAATATAAAAGTTCTAATAATTTTTTTACCAATTATGCAACAGATCAGTAGTAGTAACGGTAATATCAGCTGTAGAAACGAGACAACGGCCATGATAGTTGAAGTATTTATAAAATTTTTCTTTTCTTCTTCTTTCTTGCTTTTTTCTGTCGCCTTGTGTATGTCAAAAACGAAGTATACTGTAGTTCTTTTTTTTCTTTTATTTCTTCTCTCGTCTCCATCTTACTCATCACCACCAACGTTTTCTTTTTTTCTGAAGACCATGACCTTTTTTTTTAGTATACAACTTATATTTCTTTTTATTTCTCTGTTCAGTTTTCTATGACGTTGATTCTTTTTTTTGTTCTACCTTGAATAATTTTTTTTATCGAACTTTCGTTCGTCGCCAGTTTGTCCCTCTTTTACTATGCTGCCAGCATTATTTTCATAATATGACGCATTTTTGTTCTTCTTCGACAAGTATCGATCAGCATATTTATATAGACATTTTTCTTTCTTCTGGCTTTTTTTTTTTGAAATGAAAGAACATTAAAAAAGCGCCGAGAAAGTCAACAATGCAGGTATTATAGTCAGTTGAAATTCAGTAAAATGAGTAATTCAACTTTATTTATTCTATGAATATATATGTATGAATAATAATAAAGGAATCACATCAAAGCGGGAAATTCATCATTGAAAAGTAACATTTTACGACATAGAGGGCATGTTCGTTCGATTTTAAACCATTCTTCAAGACACATTCGATGAAATGTATGATTACATGGGAATGTTTCTGTTTTATTTGAATTTAAACTTTCAAGACAAATAAGGCATTGATCTTCTGTTATTGCTGTTTCATTATTACTATTATTAGCTTTATTTTCTCCCTTTTTTGATAATTGTTCACGTTCTCGATAACGTCTAAATGTACTCCAAAGTGTAGCAGCAATAGATTGTTCAATTTCATCTTCATTTGAATTCTAAAAAGAATAACAGTAAATCACATAATTTATTAGATAAAAAATAAATTTACTTCAGTTTGGGTAGTATCAATATCGTTCTATAAAAAAAATAGAGATAAGAAAAATCAAAATTTAAATATAAAAAAAAATTGTGTTAGCCAACCCGTTTTGACGGATATTTGCTTCGAACAATATTTAAAACACCTTCTTCAATTTGTGATAAAGAAAGTCCAGCTAGCGTTTGTCGTTTTTGCCGATAAGCATATAAAGCTTCAGTAAAATCCGATCTATTAAGAAAATAAATATTCATTATAATCAATCAAATTTTACTGACCTACACTGAATATTCTGGATTAGTTTTTGTAAAATACATCATAAGTTTATCATATGTTGATAGATCAGAAGGTTCTCTTGGTAGAGCAGTAGTGACATTATTTCTTGGATTCTTAAAAAAAGAAATATTCTATAAAATCTCTTTTTTACAATGATTTTTTCACTTTTAGTTTTGCGCTTACAACGACCTTTAAAATATTTTTTTTAAATTTTGAGGTGTAAAGTTCAAGCTGGCATAAAATTAACTTCATTACTCATGTGTACTTTGTGACTGAGAGAAGTTTTTTAATTCACATTTATTCATTTCACGAAAATTTAAACCAAACATTGACTATATGTTGAATTCTCTCAAGGCAGAGAATCAAATAAAATTTTGTTCTTTTATGTAACACTTCGAATTAACAACATCATTTAGTATTCATTTCCATTTTGACGCACTTCGCATAAACTTCAGTCGCTATACGCTTTTTTGAACATAAGTACAAAAAGTTATCTCAAGTAATCCGAATAATAATTAGAAAATAATCTATTGTAGAATAAAGAAAAACAATTGAACCTCTCTGAAATCGTAATTAGTAAACATACATCTTACACATTCTGAGTCAATATTCTATACCTGTTTTCGATTTTTATCACCATGTCTACGTTGTTCTGAAGTCATATTTGTATTGATAAATGTAATAAAAAATGAAGACTGTCTAGAGTAAATAATATATCAACAAATATATTTATGACCATTTTCCAGCGTTTTATCTGTACTAGTCTTTTGTTTTTTTATGACAACCGAGAAAAAAATAAATGTATACATAGCAAAAAAAGAGAAGTGTAACACGGACAACTATAATATGAAAGATAGAAGATGACGACGAAGTTGAATAAACAACATTGACTGATTACACTTCTTTAGGAATAACATGTTGATTGATAATATCAAATATTTGTTTTCGTTTTGATGAGCCCATTAAATTTTTTTCACACCAGTTAGCAAATGTTGTTGATGATTGAAAATTAATCGTTGGTGAACGATGAGCAAAAAAGCTTTCCATATATTGTAAAATATATAAACCACAATCAAAATAATTTGGTTGTTGTGGTACAGCTGCTTCAATATTTGGTATTGTATCTATATTAAAGACTTTTCTTGCTAATGATCCAACTGGTAAAGTTTTTTTATGATCATATTCAAGTTGGAGAAATTCACGTAAAGTAGCCGCAACACGATTTTTTGAACCCGAACGTAATGAATCAAACATAATTATTGCTGGTGTTTGAGAACGATTCTTTGGATTAGTAGTTGTTTCATTATCAATTTTTCTATGATTATCATTGTCTATTATGACTTCATCGGCTTCATCAAGAACTTCCATTGAATGAATATTAGATGTTGAAGATGACGATGCTTCACCGGGAGTATTAGTATTGGCAATTGGTTCAATTAAACATTCAGTATTTTTCTTCTTTTTCAAGTTTAATTGATTGTCTTAATGAGAAAAAGAAACATTTAACTAAAAAATACTCAAAAAGTCGAATCAGTTATGCTAAATTTTTTGGCCTTCAATATTTATAAGCTTCGAAACATTTTTAATAGACGTTTAATAAAAAAAAAAAAGAGAAATTTTACGCAATTTTCTATTGCCCAAATTTGTAAACAGTTATCAATTCAAATGTATCTTGATTTGAAAGATTTGATAAGGAACTATGATTTCAATTGAATTTTACATGTCAATTTCTTACCATGATTATCATCGTCATCACTGGTTAGATCACCTTCTGTTGGAACATTATTATGATATTGGATAACAACAATATACCAATGAGCTGTTTGATTAATTGGTAAAATAAGATAATCTTTTGAGAATATATCCACATCACGAAGCCATCGTTTAACACGATTATAACGTCGTTCAGCAGCTCTGTATTTTTCAATAAAGCATTTTATAATATAAATATTTGAGGATAAATCAAAATTTCAGTGCAATTTAAAAATCCCATAAACAACAATAAACATACTATCATTTCGTACTCTATATTCATGTACTCAGAGAAAGATGAATATGCTATAGGACTTTATGATATATACTTTTTAATAGTAAATGTCCCATTCCAATGGTACTAAGAAAGTCCCATAGTTTAGAAAATTCTGAGGTAGATCTTTCAGAGTCCGTTTTTTCTCTCTTATCTCTTGCATTTTTTCATTAAAAATAAATAGTTCAGAAGCTTCTAGCAAAGAGCCGCTATGGTTGAATGGATATATTGCTCGACACGTATCTACAAGCTATTGTATATAACTCAATGCCCCTAGTTCTAGAATGACCCTGAACAAGTTACCAACGGCTATTTCTCTCGTATCATCCGTCTGATGGCCATGCTGATCACATAGTGGCATATATTGGCTGCTATGATTAATACGTAGTTAGTTAATGTGTATGGAGAAGCCAAACGATTGATTTCTAAGTGAGGTCTGCCTTCTGACAAAATCTACGGCCAGCCGTAGTTGTAGGGAAAATATCGGACTGGTGAAACTATTTTCGGACAACTCCCAATACCGAAGACTGGATACTTTTTCTTAAAACAAGCTGCAAATTGTTAATCATCGTACCAACTATCATGAAAAAACAACGCATATACGAATATTTGTTGATGATTATAGCAAATTTCCATAAATTAACATTTATTTTATTGAGAAGCGTTTATTATTTCTTTTCGCATGATTATATATTTTTCAGAGATAATATTATAATGTTAACGACAACACAAGATATATTCAAGGTTATTGTTGTTTAAAGAAATTTTTATTCTCTATTGAACACAACCATTAGAAAACCAACTTACGAAGTATTGAGAACATCATCATTGCCTTTTCGTGTTAATCTTGTATAAAAAAAGGAATTAAATAAGTATGTACGTTTACGATCTTCATCAGAAAGTTTTTTATAATATATATATCTATTAAATGGATAAAAAAAATAAATTGCTGTAAAAGAAAATATTTTGACTTTACTGCAAATAGAAGTCGATAATATTGTCGTTGAGAAATTCACCTTCGTTCAAACATAATAAATCATCACAAGATAAATCAAAACGTATTGAATTATTATTCAAACCAACAGTTTTTGGAGTCCTAAAAAAAAACAAAATGAATCATTCAACTAATACTTTCTATGAAATTTTCTAAACGGAATAGGACAATAGCTCCAAAAATAGGCGGCACTGTTTTCCGGTTTTTTTTCTATTCATTGACTAGTGCACCCTACAGATCTCTCGGACGACTCGTATGAGAACTGTGTGGAGTAGAACGCATTGGGCCCAGAACCAACCCAACGGGTTCTATTCCTGATCACTGGGAAATCAAATAATAGAATTTGGCGCATAGATAGATCTGATGACTCTTGAAATATTCTGAAGATTTTAGTCGAAAAGAATGTTCTTTTGTCCAGATATTCAATATGCAAGTAAACTCCATTTCTATGATATGCGACTATTTGTTGAAAACTCAATTGTATGCAATACAAAAGCCTTTGAAAAAATTTTAAACTTTTATTGTTAGAAACAGATATATCTGAACTACAAATTCTGCACGAGACATTCTTTTTCAGAACGAATCTGACGACGAGGAAAAGCCCAAAACCAAACAATTTTAGAAATAGTTCTTACAATCTCACTATTTAGCAACAGCATTTTTTATTGTCTGTTATGTTTCTTTTAAATCAGAAAGAAAATGAAAAACATGTTCATTGTTGATTTTTGTAGCGTAAACTATGCTTCTTCCGATGGGGCATTGGAAGTTTAATTTACTCTTCGTTTTTATACGAAAATAGAACTTTTTTCAAGTAGCAAAAACTCCACAAAAACTTCGTCAAAAATGTTTAGTTTTGGACTTTTCCTTCTCGTTAGGTTCATTGGCAGAAATGTTTTGGAAAAAAAAAGTGTAGTTCAGGCTTTTCTCTTTTTAAGAAAATAAAGTTTCATGGATTTAGAGGTCGGCGATATCGTATAACAAAGTTTCACTTTCCATAGACTTTTGGGCACGTCTTCATACTGATTGGTTTGATTTTCGTACACGAAACCGCATGAAGATCAGGGCACTATGAGAAGGGTTAAAATGTTTCGACTTTTGCATTACATGCTATCTTGATAAGTAAATCTTTTTCTCGGGTAAAACTTTCAGAATATTCTCAAGGTCATAAAATCTATCTGAGTTGAATTTCAGTTCGAAAATCTATCATTTAATTTTTCAACAAATACATAAAAATTAGTCGAGAAACTTAGCAAAAAAAGATTATAACTCAACTTCAGAGGTCTTAGATGTGGATCCTTTTAGGATTTTTCTATTTTTACTGAAACTTTCTTATGAACTCAGAAGTCGGAGTACAGTAGTAGTTCCTTCGTTAGTATAATGAACAACTTTTTCTCGTTTATTTTACTAAGTGCATACAAGGTTTGTTCACATTAGCCAAACGATTTTGAATTAAACATATTCCACACCTTTACAATAATGTTCAATTAAACTCATGATTTACTTATATGAAAGAATAATCATTTCCTCCCTTCAATTAACCGATAAAAATCATCAATTGATCAGTTTTCTTTCTTTTTAATAGTTTAAGTTCTACAATGAAAACTATAAGATAAAAATTTGTCTCTTAGTCTAATTTCAATATTCATTAAAAATATATGTTTCTACAAAAAAAAACATACAAATCATTAGCATCAATTACAAATGATGTTGTTATCGAACCCAATGCTGATACTTTTGCAAATCGAGATAAATTGTAAATTTCTTGAGCTCGTGAACCATTTATACAACAAATATTCTGTGGAAATATAATATTAAAAAATATTTTATATATCAAGAAAAATTCATATACAATTGTTGAACATTTTGCTTTCAAATAATAATAAATTGATGCTATATTTGCTTTTTCTGTTTCTGGTGATGATTTTAGACAAAGAACAATTCGACGTCGTCTTTCATCTAAATAAATATAAATATTAAAATTTATAAAAATGATCTATTTATTTATTTTTAACCTTTTGAATTTGGATCAAATGCTTTTCCTTTTTCATCCATTGATGGAATATATTTTGCAAAAAGATCAGCAAAATCGGGACGAACTTGAATAAATGCAGCTGGTGGTTGTGATTGAAATGAAAAGAAAAACGATATGATGTCTGAATAGGCTAATTTTATATTAAGATTAGCCATAAAATCACCTAAATATAGAAATTATTTTGTTAATTGTTATTAATTTATGATTTTTATTTACTTTTAAGCTTTAATTCAAATTCCGTTTCTTTCATAAGAATCACTTCTGATTCAACATTAAACTCTATAATACCGAAACGAACTGCTGAACAACCAAGTTCATAAGTTTTTTTAATTAGATCCGAATGTTTGATTGTTAATTCTGGTATACGCATTATATCTTTGCGTTGAACAATCCAATCGGATGCTTGAAATGTTTCAATATTATTATCACCATTGACGAGACTTGGTGATCGCCGTTTTGGAGGACTAGCAACAGGTATACTAATTTTATTATTATTATCATCATCGTCATCACTCAAACATATAACTATATGAAAAAATAAATAAATTACGTTAAAATACAAAATATAGAAAATACCTTCTGGTTGTGGTTTGGATTTTTTGGCCATTTGCCCGTTTGTTATTATTAGTGCATGATCAATTCGCTACAAAAAAAAAACAAGAATATTTATATTTGATAAAATAATTCTTTATCTTTACTTTTCGACTACTATAAAAAGAAATTGAAGGGTTTTCCTTTGTTGACGACACTTCAGCAGTTCGAAGTTCTAAAGTATAAAACTTAAATATAGAAGTTCAAGAAAAACAATCTCAATCTTACGTAAATGCAGAGAATAGTGAGTTGAATTTGACGACAGTTTTCTGAGAATGATGTATCAAATTTAGATTACTGTACATTCGAATGAGAACAAATATACGAAATTTTCTTTTTGACTCTATCGATACACAAAGGACTGATCTACTATGACTCATCCAATAATGTTCTAGGTTGACTTTGATCAATAGATGGCGTACTATATACAGACAGAAAGGATAAGTTTATAATATATATTGTGCGAAATGTAATTTTTGTAAATTTGTTTTGAAATCTTTCCAATGGTGAAATCACAGAGTGAATACGAATAATTGTTTCTTAGAAAAAATTATAAATATAATTTTTTTTTCATTATTAAAATACTTTCTAGCTAAAATGAAAATCTTAATTTCTAAGGACATATTCTAATAGCTTTCTCAGTATTTATTTTCCTGAAACATTCGTTTGAAAAGTATGTGTCATGACATCAAACTTATTGAAAGTACCTATGAGAAAAAAGAGTAGATTGCACTTGTCTAAGCAAGACTGCCATAGAAAATGCTTTGCAAGTATTCAATTTCAGTACACTGAAAAAAATTATGAATATAACAGATGATCATCTAAAGAAGACACTAAAATATGATTTCATCCAAATGTAGGACGCGTACAATAACAGCAAGTATAAATAAAATATTTGTACTTTTAAATACGAAAAAAGTACTTGGTATTTTTACTTGATGTATAAATATAATAAAGGAGAGGGAGTCAATAACTGTTGAAAATGTTTTCCCGAAGAAATTTAATTTCTTCTATGTCAGACTATGACAGAAGAGATTCGACAGGGAGCCCTGATGGAATTAGTCTTATAGTAATGGTTTGTTCTATGCGCAACTCGATTAAAACAGTCAATGGCCGTTACTTGTACAATGAACCCGACTGCCGATAATAACTAACTCTTTTTATCTATTCATCTCACGAACAGCCAGGTTATTTTCATATGATTCGATAGCACATTTCAAGTGATTCAAAATGATACAAAAAATCGAGGAAAGAACATTGGTCGCACAAAGAAATCCTAAGGAGACAAATCTCGAGACACGATTTTCTAATGTTTTTGTGTCTGATATTTAGTAGATTTCGATTAGAAAAATATGATTTGAATAAAAACTAATTTGATATTCTGAATCAGTACTCAAAACTGTGTAGACTTCCGTTTATTTGAAAAATTTTCACAACTTTCGTTTTCGTCGAGAAGTTCACCCTTAGTCATCTTCGAGGTTGAAGTCAAAACATGTGTTTTAATAAAAAAAATAATTTTAACAGCAGAAATCAAATTCTTAAGTTATAAAGCGATAGTAGAACTCCAAATATCAGATAAATAAACAATCAAAACAGAACTTTCGTGAAATCGATTTTTTAATCCAACCTTGAGGGGAGACCAGGAATGAATTTTCCGACAAAAAAAAAACAAATTACGAAAATTCTTGAAATACACATAAGTTAACTCAATCTTGGATACTGATTCAGAATATCATATTCATTTTTATTCAAGTCATACTTTTCTTATCGAAATCTATTAAATATCAAGCAAAAAAAATTATAAAACCACGTCTTGAGAATAGCCTTCTTAGGATTTCTTTAGTCCGATGGGTGATAATATCAAATAGCATTGGTACCCAATTTCAGTGAAAAATCCGAACAATGCTGGAAATAAGGGCAGATCAGTTCCATATGCTTCATGTAAAGTCACGTCGAACAGTGTTTTTTTTTCGTGATATATTTACACTATATTGAAGCCACTGAAAAGTGATATCGAGCTATATGAATACTAGTCTAGTTGCTCTTCAAACTGATAGATAAAAAGACCTGGCTATTCTCAGCAATCAGGTGTAGTCTAGATGCGACAGCCATTGACTAATTCAATGAACCAGATCACATCACAAACAAGCGTTATACATCTAATTCTAGTAGGGCTCACTTTGGGATATTTTGAGTGAGATTTTGACAGGACGAAACTCACATTTCTGCGGAGGAAGTTGATTTAATCTCTTATCGACTTTCTTTCTTTCGTCTTTAAAGTTGACTAACTCTAATAAGTTTTTCAAAACTAAAGTAATATCATTTGATCAAGAGTAAATAACAAGACAAATATTTCAATGGAATTTGTTTCCCTTATTTGCTGATAAATTGACTGCAAGACACTCATAAGAGTCATCTATTTTTATAGTTCAAGTTTCTTTAAAATTATGACTCTTGTTTGGCTTACTATCATAGATAAATATAGTTCTCGATGACGCTAAGAAAAGTCTACGTGAATTCAAGTGTATGCTCTACAAATCGTTACAGATTCTTGCTTCACTGCATTGTCGAATCATCAATAGGATTTCTTAACTATTGACAGATAAAGTTTTATTATGGAATGTTGATGAAGGATTTCTTGAATATATCTTAGACCTCTTTAAAAGTTTAGATTCAACGATTGATTCTTTCTCACAATATTGAACTTAAAATAAATACACTTTATCAGACATATTTTGATGTGTAACTAATAATTTAAGAAATCAAATACGTATGACGTGATAATCTGCTTTTAATAGAAATCCATAAAATCATCTGGAAATAATTCGATCTATTCAATGGCTAATTGTTGCTAAAATTGAACATATTTCATTTTTCATGCAATATGTTAGAAATATAAAATAATGCTTCATATAAAAGAGTCTTCGGTTTTCAAAAATAAGCAGAAAACCAAAAATCGTTTTAATTTTTATTTAACTCATCTATATATTTACTAAGCGACTAAACTACTTAGTCGAGCGAATAATTTTTAATTTTTGAAGCGTCTTTCGTCGATGGCCATAATTAAATATTCAGAAAAATACTTCAAACACTGACAAAGACATTGTTTTCAATTGTTAATCACTTCATACGTTATATTGAAAATGCAAAATATACCAAAAAGTGTACGGTAGAACAAGCGGTAGAAAGTTTGTAAAGTTTACAAAGAATAGCTTATTTTAAAGTTCCACTTTTTTTTCAAAATGGAGAAAATTTCGAGGCTGGGAAAAAGATTAGTTTTTGGTACAAGACCATAGGCGGCGGAGCCATTAGACCTGGATAGGCTCAAACTAGGATAGATCAACGCTTGAATAGGCTCGATTAGATGCAAAAGTTTTCTATTATTGTTCAGTTTTGATGTTCTTCTGAAAGCTAACTTATTTCATAAGGTCAGCTCATATTTTTTCTACTACCAACTCGTGTCAAATGAGATACTAATTGAACTTTGTTGGCATCTATATCGAGATTCAATTCTTGTTTCTTAATATAAAACAGGATACAGCTCCTCTTCTGCCCCCTAAATATATCAATTTTTTGTGTTGAAATCAATAGTTTCGCTCTTCAAAGACAAAATCAACAGCTAATTTTTTCTGCCCTCGATCTTATATGAAAGTGCCTCATTTGTATTTGACAATTATACCGTCACGATATTTCATAGAGGTGTGCAGAGTAATCATTTTTCGCATTCTCTTATCTGCTGAGAATAGCTTCCTCATCTTTAACCTACCCTACAACATCCATACCTTTACCCTACCTTTCGGTGTAGTATAGAGTACCGGTACCTTGTACGACTCTAGCATTGAATGCATGCTTCGAAGTAATCGAATTCGAAATTCTCGTTCTCCGGCGTTAATTTCTTAATATTTGTACTTGCACACGAGAAAGTTCGTATTTGCCGAGCTCTGTTTTTGTAAACTTCTATTTAACATGACTTTTGAATCTTAGATGCTTAAATAACATTACTTCTTTCGTATACGGATGTCAGCTAAGCAAAGTCAGATTATGTCTTTCTTCCAGCTCAAAAAGCAATAAACCAAGAATCTTTTTTGATGAAAATTCATCTTGTTTTGAAATTTATCGAACAGTTGAAACGATACTCAATGTAAAACAGACTTGTGCCAAAATGCCACCAGTAGCACCAACAAAAACCTCGACATCAGCTTCATCAAGAATCTGTTCTGATTTTCTTTCAAAGAATTAAGATTGAAAAACATTTTTTGGTGTTGAATAATTTTCTCTCTTCTTAGACTGTTGGTTTATTGTTTTTTAAACAGCCTTCCTCAGTTATTTCGTTCGTTCTCGTTGTGTCTGACAACAACAATAATGCATTAGATAATAATCACACTAATACAGAATTTAGATCGAGCAAAAGTTATTGCGGTCACCATTAGAAAGAAACGAAGAAAAACACTTCAAATCGCTCACACCTCTGCAAAAGAATTGGAATTGAAATCAAATTAAAGTCGATTAAAAACTGATTAATAATCGATCATAATCATATAATTGTAATCAATTTTTAGTAATTTTATAACCGATTTTAATCAATACCTACAAAAAAGAATTACAACTTCATAGATGATTACAATTATTTCCAATTACAATTGATTAAAACATTATAGAGAAATTAATTTTCATTGATGCAAGTCGATGAAAATTATGTGAAGACTTTTCATATTTCACAAATAAAAATCAATGAAAACTGATATTTTTAAGGAAGTCTTAATCCATGATATTCAAAAATAATCGTAAAAAATCAATGAAATTTCAATTTTTTCGTTTATTTTTCATTAAAATTAGTTTAAAAAAATGATGGAAAATTGATTAAAACCGTACGATTATGATCAATTTTTAATCAGTTGTTATAATTGATTTTAATTTAACTTCAACCTTAATTTATTTTACATAGGCACACCTAGCTTGGCGAAAAAAGTTAAGCCTACCCTAGACTAAAATAGTTCCGCCGCCTATGTACAAGAC